AGATTTAATCACGGGGAAAATCACAGAACTCCACGATGGCAAACTGGAATTCAGATGGCAAGATGCCCTCAAAAGTGAGGAAAATATATTACATCTTCCCACATTCCTACAGTTGAAACACTGTTTCGCCGGCAACTATTAAACTAATTTTTTTTTGATTCAGAGGGAAGAGGCATGAGGGAACATTGAAACTTTTGTTCCTCGCAGAAAGCCGGTTCCCAGCCTCCTCCCTCACCACCCTCCCCCTCTTCATCCTTCATTCCGGCATGTTTTCCTAGCAACCGAGAATAACAAAACTCTCCTGGAATTTGCAAAAATATCAACATCATTAATGTCAGCGCAGGGACACATTTTCGATGAATATTATCACACTGATCATTGAGGAAAAATATTTATTCTGATAAGGCACTGAAAAAAGAGTGAATCATTGGGGCAATAAATGCAAGAAAAGTGATAATATCATCATCGATAACTAATAAAAAATAAATCACTGATCCACAGAGGCTTTCAGAACTTAAGATTGAGGGATAAGTTGTCATATCATTGATTTTTACCTCGTCAAACATAGCCAGGGATAGGGCGCAAAAGCAGAGAAAGTAGCTTTTCACCGGAAGCAAATGTCCTATTAGCTAGAAAGTTTCAAAAAATTTTTGAAATATCACAATTTAAAATCTCTCCATTATATCTAAATCTGGTAATTACCAAGAATACCAAGACCATCCGGATACTCAGTGTGAGAAAACTTCAATAAATTTTTGAAATATCACAATTTAAAATCTCTCAATTATAGTTAAATCTAGTAATTACCAAGAATACCAAGACCACCCGGATAATCAGTGTGTGTATCCCATACTAGTGATATTACTGGGAGATCTGGATCGCAACAGTACAGCTAAATGCCAATATTTCTGTGAGCTTCAGATTGGGTACCACTGAGTATGCCAGTTGTAATGACCCATAGATCCTCATCTGGCTTAGTCTCTCTCGACTGCTGTTCATCAGAAAGCCTTATTAAAAACAAGCCTTATAAGAGATTAATCAGAGGTTACTTACACAGTTTTAGTTTACTGAATGCGATCTTCCGCTTCCCTAAACCTCAATTTCCCTGTCATCTGCACCCAACTCTAACGAAAATAAGAATTGTAAGAAGAAAATTTCAAGAAAAAAGCTACAAGATATGTGTGAGATTGATCGAAAAAACTTTGGCAGTGGTGACCATAAATTATAACAATGATAAGGCATGACTAAACACATCAATGGTAATAATAATAATGCACAATTCTGACAACAAAGAGCACCGGGAAGAACAAAAAAAAAAGAAAAAACAAATAGTTAAGCATTATGGAAAATAACATATCACGTTTATGCAGATTTTCGGATGCAGACATTTGCACAGAAATCATACATACAAATTTTTATCTCTACTCAAATGGAAATTTATGCCTCGAAAGCAAATTTCTCATTCTTTTCAAATCCAGAAACACTAGCAATCAATTATGAGTCATCTGTCAAATCAAGCAACGAAGAAGTGTCCCAAGCCGTAGCGCAAGTGTAAATCGAAACTCAATTTAGGCATACGATTTTTCACATGAAAAATAAGTCGAATTCGGATCCGAATTTGTTTTCTCTGTGGACAGAACTGAAAGAGACAAATCAATTCCCTCCTCAAAATCAAACCTGAGTTATTGCTGTACATTCATTTTTGAACAAAGGAGGCAGCAAATTTACCTTTTATCGTGACAAAGGTAAGAATGTTTTGACCAATTTTGTTCAAAACAAAAATGAAATGAGGAGGAAAATGACATGGTGATCTGTACATGGTGTTGAATTAGTGGCGAACCGATAGCTACTTTAAGTACCAAAATAAGTAAGTAGGCCGAAATTTCAAGACTAAACTGAAAATCTGGAAAAAAAATTAGCTCAATCATCGACGGGGTACAACGGAAAAGAAAGACAGAAAAGTAATATTGCCTTCGATCTAAAACGCTTCCACCAAAGTTTTTTTAAGCCAAAACTATATTAACCCAAACTCCATTTACCACATTTCATTCACTCAAAAATGACTTAACTTTGCCGAAAGAAACTGGCAATTTCGATGGATCTCTCTCCCACGATGTGCGAAAAAAAAAAGGTGGAGATGAATCCGACTAATTCCTGTGCCAATAACGATGTGTCGTGGAAATGAGCGACTCGTCTGAGGACTGACACTTCCACAGGAAAAACTAAACCATCATATTTTTCAATTGAAAAGGAATATGGTGAAGACAGATCATGTTAAGTTAAACAGACCTAGCTGCAGTTCGTGTTTCATCCCTTAGCCGTAAACACAGACAGAGCAGTAAGTGCGGGTAGAAATGGGAATCATCAGAAGCTGACGGAGTCGATTCAATGATAAGTAGCGGCCTGAAAGTAGAGCTACTTATCACTGAAACTATGCCTATCAGTTTGAAATCAAGACCATAGTGACAAATGGGGACAATTCAATGTGTGTGATTTTCTCCGGCTTCACTTTTCAAGAAAAGTAACGGCATTCGGAAATATTCTGGAAGCAACAAATGCCAACAGCAACAACCCGCTAGCAAGGCTATCGATCGCTTCCTCTCTCTTAGAGGTTGCTTACAAGCAAGCTAATGGCGAGTTTGACTCCCTGACATACGCCAGTACCAATTTAACATCAGAACGAATGGAAGAACGGCTGAGAGACTGGCTATTCTAAAAAATGCTGAAATTTTTTAAAATGCATACAAAACTGACTGGAAATGCATGGGAAATTGCACTAGTTAAAATAAGTAAAAGAAATCGAAATATTAAAATTAGTAAAGAAGACATGATATGAGTAACGTATTACTTTAATTATATATTATTACGGCAACTGGTACAATCCTTGTTCCCCTTGCCCCCCCCCCGCCCCTCCCCCCTTCCTCCCCGCCTAAATCTTCTAGCTGGTAACACATCTCATCGGAGTCCGGAAGTAGAAACGTTCAGGATGTGATGTTCAACAAATACCAAGGATAGCTCAAAAAAATCTAAGTTCTTGGCAAGCGCATCTGTCTGGAGAACTGTTCTTCAGAAGAAACAAACATAAAAATCGACAACAATTGACCATTGGGCAATGCAGCTTTGGCCAAAGTAACTGGAAAAGCTACTAGCTAGACAGAAAAAAAAGAAAGTCCTGATTTTTGAGGGCGTTTCAGGGAAGCCAAAAATCGATATTATTGGTATTTTAGACAAACAGAAAAAGCAGATTAAGAATATGAAGTAAGAAAAACAACAATTTTGCAAAACAGTTATTAAATAAACTAACTATATTTAAAAAGTATGGAAAAACATGTGCTAATCAGATCTACAAAATCTAAATGAACAACATCAAAAATCCATGTATTTCTGGTATTATGAAAGAAGAGATGGGCTGGTCATGTGGCATGGATGACAGATAACAGACGTACGAAGGCTACAAGCGTGGTGGAGAGACTCCGCGGTACGCCTGTACAGTACTACGTGGAGTCAGAGAGCGCAACAACGAGTTGAATGGAGAAGTTGCCAGTGCTGCACCGATGGAGTGACAACGAACGTCGATGACAAGAAGCTGCTCAAGTAAGGAAGTACAGAAGAAAATACGCTAAATTCAGAATATTCCTCTTTTTCAAGAGTGCTTAACAGATCATGAAAAACGCCCAGAACCGCCAGATAATCACTAAATAGCTCACGATAGTGCTACGGTTATTCCGAACAATAATCCTGCAGAAGCACCTAAAAGTCCCGGGAATAATCCTGAAGCATCTACCAATCCTATGCAAACTCCATCAAAACCCCATTTGCGGCATCCATCCGGGTAAGGACAGCCGAAAAAATCGTTTGCAGAACATCTGGAGTTTACAAGGCCGAGCCCAGCCGTGTTTTTGCAGTTGCCTTGTAAACTCCAAATGATTCCCTGGAAGTCCCACACGATCAGTCGGCAATCATCGACGACCATCCCAAATTACTGATAATCATCCGGAGGTTCCCCAGATAACCACTAAATTATTTAAAGAATACCGAAGTAACTACCTCGGAAATTGTAGGTGTTCATACGAAAATTCTTAACCACCTGAAACTTCAGGACGAACACACGGCAATTCTAAATACTCACCAATTTGCTACTGCTGAATATTTTTGTACTATTACAGCACTTATAAATACATAAGGTTGACGGTTTACCGGCAACAAAGGACACAGGAAAGGCTGTCCATTCTGTACAAAGATGTACTTGAACGGCTATATGGAATTATGTGGATGAGAGAAGCCAAAACAGGAAAGAATGGAGAAGCTGCTATTTGCATCAGTGACGAGAAAAAGTGCAACAATAAAACAACAGATCAACGTATTAGAATATACTTTGATCAAGGAAGTTATTTTCCAGCTGTGCTTGAATGGAAAAATATTACAATAAATTTTCCTACTTAATTTCAAAGTATAAAATAAAGAATAACAAATTTTGGTGTTGATGTACTGTTCCAAATGACAGAATGTCTAATTTAAGAAAATAAAAACAGGAGTGCGAACTTCTACAAGCGCAACAATCGCCTCATTCCAAGCTGACCTTTCATTCTTAGCCTTCTTTTCCTCACTAGGCACTGCGACCGTTATAATGACGAGGTCCAGTCGCGGTGTTGAGTTAAAGGGTATATGACTTAATGAACCGAAAAGCCCGAGTTAGTCGTTTTCCTGCCAAAAATTTCCACGGGTGACAACTACGCATGCCTGAGGACTGAATTTGGTAAATTTAAGTTATATATGGGCGGGGAACAGTCCCTTAAAACTTCAATATCCTACCTTTCTTGGTTACTTTGGCCTTCTTTTTTGATACCGCTCTTTCTTTCCGAATTCAATCAAATCTTCCCAACTTATAATGCTTCCATGGTCATCTTGGATACTACACTCGGCTTAAAGACAAAATTTTCATCTGCGTCGCTTATCTTTAAGCAGATCTGAGTAAGTCACTTAAAAGAAGATAAAGTATGCTAAGCCGGAGCAGCAGCGTCCTCCATCCTTCGGCTGAATAACAGATTCGCTAGCTGTGCTTTCGAGGCAATGCCTTCACGTCGGCTGAGCAGGCAACGAGCATAATCCGAATCGACCAGCTCTGGATCACAGATTCGAGTGTAGTATCGCAAACGCAGTGTTGGCTCGACAGCACGCATCATATGCACTTCCTGTTGTCCAAGAAACAGTGATGAAAGATCCAGCAGCACCGATTTGTTGTCGAGACGTGAGCGTGCACGAATGTAATCCGCTCCATACAGTGAAAATACCGAGAAATCCGAGGAATCAAAATGACCTTTGTCCTGAAATCAACAAATTTTTTTTCAACGGACTCGATCACGAAAAAAAAATCTTTGGCTTCAAAAATTAAATCACAAAAAGGGCAATATTTTGTACTTACATGAAGCCCAACAAGACAACCATTATCAGGGCGAGGATAAAATTACATCCCTCCTTGGCTATTTTTCGCTAAATTCAGAACCAATCCTGAAACTTTCTTAACTCCCTCTATCAGGAAATACCGAAATTCGCTAATTTCTTCAGAAGGCAAAATAAATTTCGGATGGCTAGCAGCACAACGACTACCAGACGATGGAGCATTTGATCAGCACAGTAAGAAAAGTTGCCAGCTGCAAAACTTGAGGACCGAACTATGAAAATATGGTCCTAACAGTGAACTAGAGGACATTGTATCCTTTAAAAAACACCGAGAAATCCGAGAAAAACACTGGAGGCAAGGATCAGTAAGCATAAATTCAGGGAAAATCCAACAAGATTAAATGCTACGACGGTTTTACCTCAACATAAGTAGGGAAAAAGAAGACTGGAACACTTTGAGTATCGCAGGATAACGAAAAATTTTCAAAACTTCTGTATCTGTCTTTATAAGCAGGCGCATTCGGAAGCAGCCCAGATAAAAAACAGCAACTACTCATCGGCGGCACTCCTAATCGGTTTCCCGTGAATTCCCGGATCACTGAACCCAAATATGAATAGGTGAACAAACTTTGTGAACGACCAGTGGTCTGATGTTTCTTTTGAACGTGGCATCGCGAAATTTGCTCATAAACATCTCGGAACCATCGGCAAATGTCTTCGGTGCTGCTCGAGCATCCCGATCCACTTCGCCCATCTCCCGTGCTGCCTGATTGTTCACACTAGCACCTTTCATTGCAGCTTGCAGTGCTTCACTCGCACTTATGATTTGCGGATGGTACTGCACAAAGGGTAACGGGAAGAAGACCTGAAACGTGTGGACTTCAACAATTACTTTCAAACATACAGAATTTAGTCTTGCCTCACCATGGAAGTTTTTCACGCAATTATCGAAAATGCAGCACTGTCACAGGTAAAAAATGGGACATAGTGCCAATTGTTGTGCCTGTTCTAGCACAAAATCAAATTATGAAACTGAATTCTTCATATTTCACATGAATATATGGCTTTTATGGTTCTAGAGTCGTACATGGCTCGGCAATATCTTCGTGAAATTGTTGAACTAAGTCGACTCAAAAATGAGTTTTATATATATAAATAGAGACAAAAATAATGCCATAAAGACGGTTGCGGGTTTGCACCAGTAACAGGAAGTTATGATAGGAAAGAATGGAAAAAAGGGGAAAAAAGCTGCTGCTGCAGCAAAAAAAAGTACCTGGAAATGCTTTATGGTATTGATGCGTACACGATCCAAGAAATCGAGCTGGATGTCGGCATGTGGTGAGAGCAGCAGATAAATCATTTGTTGCCCAAAATGATCAACAGCTTCATCCAGAGCAGCAGCCGCCAAAACTGGATGACTATCCGATTTTAGCAGCAGAAGCATCGTTTCTGTTTGCGCCGCTTTACATCTGCAAAAGCCAATCAACAATTCATCCGCAATAAAAGATAGCAGTTTTGTTCCGGAGCGAGAGGGGGGAAGGATGAAAAACATGAAAAGACAGGGGACTGGTATTAAGAAAAGGCATACAGCCCAAGACAACAGAGCCTAGCACAGCTGTGCCCGGTATTTGGGAATATTTTAGTAAAATCATTAACACGGGATACCCACACCACCAATCGCCTAGTTAAATATGTACTCAAATCTGTTAGCAGAGCAAACTACTAACTGGTGCATTAGTATGCAAAAATTGGCAACCAATAAAAGCAAACGATTTGTCCGAACGTATATTTGACTTACTTTAAAACGCAAACTACGAAAAGTGCAGAGTCAAACAGACTCAAGGATCTGTTAGCTGCAAAGATAGTGAAGAGCGCAAAAGATAAACCAGCAACAGCCTGTCTATCTTTTCCTCACCTTATCATCCCTTCGTTTGAAAAAAAAGCCGACAGGGTGGCTGGCAGCCGGGCAATTCGATGCCCACGACCATAGGCAAGTCCAGGACGGACTCCTGGATGGGGGGAGGAGGGAGGGGGGGGG